TCCAGCTCTACATCTTGTTATCTCAAATTTTGCACAAATGTATTAAGGAGCGCCATAAAGCAAAAGATACAAGTACAAAGAAGGAAAGTCCAAAGAGAGAGAATTCTAAACTTATGGCTTAGGCAGCCGAAGATAAGCCATTAAAGTTGGAGCAGTTAATCGCAGGAATAATGAAGTGGCCAGTATTGAATGGGTAAAGTGATCATAAAGTTTTATTTTAACTTTTTCTCATGGAATGCTGGTGTCACTGGCACTGCCAGCTATTGTTGCCCAACTCTATTTGCCCTCAAACTGAATGACCATGTCAGAGGGCAGTTAAGAGATAAAGGATCTGATTCACTCATAGGATAGAGTGGATAAAGACAGCAGATTTCATTCCCTAGAGGACAGTAGAGCCTGTAGTGCTGGCCAGCATTATAAAGGTAAAGCCATAAAGAGATTTCCTCATGAGGAAACGAACTTTAAAGTTAAGGGACTATTACTAGGTGTCGATATATGTCAGTGACTGAAGAGATGATAATGAACAGGACTTGGTGTGAGTTAGATGATGTGCAACAGAGTTTTGGAGATGCTTTATTACCAAAGTTTTGGAGTTAAATACATATGCATAGTTCAAAGTATGTTACCCCATTTTTAATCAACTCTCTACTTAGTAACGACCAATAGGCTGACTATCCTACATTTCCTTTGGTTGTTTTCATGCAAAGAGCCTTTGTGATCATGATCAGAATTCATTCTTAAAACCAACACAATTAAATGGCTACAAAAATGTCGTTATTTGGAACCATGGTGTTAGAAGGCAGTGAGAAAACACAAGTGCTTTCTTTAAGTTTTTCAATGTCCTTTATTTGGTCCACAATAGACAGAGTTTTAGGCCAGTTTTTAGTTTCAGTGTTAAACTTCCTATTGCCAAGGAGGCAATGCTGAATGACCTAGTCCCATTTTCCACTTTTAATTCAAGCTTGAACTATATTAATACTAAATAAAAGATGTAATACTGATTTATTTCAGTGTTGTATTAAAACACAATTTTTAAAAAATCCAAAACAATCCAAATTACCAGCATTATGGATACATGTACTGTAATAAAAATAGGAACTGTAAATATTTATACACTTTCATTGTTAAAACATGCCCAAATTTATAAAGTAATAAGTAACTTCATGGCTTCAGAGTTGCCAGGAGCCACTGTTCTTCATCCACAACACAAATTCCAGGAAGCAGTCACAAGTTAGCACATTTTTCAGTTAAATAGCAGTTCCATTGGAAGAGGGTGTCAAATGACAGTTTGTTGCAAATGATGCTACTGTGCTCTACTATGGTGAAGATACTGTTCCTCCTGCTCAACAACGTCCTCTTCCTCAGAAGAAGAAAGTTGCTGCTCTTGCAGCTCCTGATTTTCTATCACAGTTTCTTTTTGCCTGCTGTGGTTGTGCATAGCACAGCTTGCAGGATCATATGTCACACTCAGTCTCACGTGTACAGCAAGCACCACCTCCCCCCCACCCCAGATCTGTCCAAACATTGGAATCTCATCTCAAGAAGGCCTACCATCTGGTTCAGGATGGCCCTGATGGATGAAGGGGCTGCACTGTATCAACACTCAGCTGCAGTCAGGGTGTTGTATACTGGAGTCAACAGCCATGGTTGGTGACGGTAGCCTTTGTTCCTCACCAGACATCCTTGTAAGGTATGCAGTCCTTGGAATGAAGCAGAAGCCCAAGAGTTATCTAGGATAAAGGCATTATGGTAGCTTCCAGGGTACCTGGCACAGATTTCTAAGATACGGTACCAATTATCACAAATGACTTGGATTTTAACCAAATACATGCCTTTCCTATTATGAAGTTAGATACATCATGATACAGTGCTCTCATTGCTACATATTTACAGTCTATAGCATCTTGCACCTGAAATGCTCCAGCAGCTGACCCAGATTGTTTACAGTGACTTTTAGCATCCTCATTCAGTAGCAGCATTGCATTCACTCATTTGAAGCACATGGCATCAAGGACAAAAGACTGCAAGCCTCCTGCACTTTATCTGCATCTTGAGGGGAGCTACTGTTTTCAAATCTTCATTTGGTACCAGTTCCGCAGCCATAGGAGTTTGCTGCTTGTCCTGGGCTTGTAGTCTTGTATGTTCCTGCACAATTTCTGTGGCTATTCATTGTGCAACAGCCACAGCGACAATAAAATCTGTTGGGTGGACCCGTTGGTCCCAGTTCCAATGTGCCTATGTGGGAAATATCAAAAACAAATCAGCTCCTTAGTAACGTAAGCAGTCAGCAGTCACGGCACACCAAGATGACAGTTTATCATAGCCCTCGATATAAGGACATCCATAGGATGCCACTATATGGACCTTTAACATAGTAGACCTTATTCAGACATATGCAGCTCAAGCCATTTCACACAAATACATTCAGAAACTGAATTATTGTAGGATCAATGACAATGGGGACTCCCCAACTTTCCCACTACATCAGTGGCCCCTGATACACCCTTTGGCTTTCAGTGAACAAATGTCCAGGACAAATCATTGGCTAACCCGTTCATGACAGTCATGACTGATAATGAACCAGATCCCTGACTGTGAATCTCCCTGACTTGTTGCTGCTGTTCCCCAGAATGGTTAAAACCAACCTGCAGAACTGACTGGGAGATCTCCCGAGACAGTAATGAGATGCATCTCTGGCACCTAATTGTACCGAATGGCTGACTGGACTGAGATTAGACCCTGCTGCTATCGGACTGCAATGACAGCCCCTGGCTGGCACAGTCCCCCTTGACTGGTGTAAGGACTACTGCCCTTAAACTTTCAGTTGTGGCCATTTGGTTGAAGTACATTGTGTGTCCTTTGCTCAAGCTGTTTGCACATGCTGCAGGTGTGTCACTGAGGTAGCGCGGTGCCATTCAGCACTGTGTCCACCTGCTTAATTGTTCACGGATGGCAAACATGGCAAACTGCCTGCCTTTCTGTCTGCAATAAAAGGCAAGGCTAGACAGAACTACTGTGGTACTGTATATTGTAAATGAGCTGGCATTGTGCAAAAAGGCAAGGTTGAGATGCTGTGAGCATCCAGTTAAGCACCGAGTAGGTAAGTGTGAGGGAAGTAAGCGAAAAGCCCGAAGATGCACCCAATTGCAATGCAAGATAGATGCCTGCCCTTGTGCCCAGAGCAGCCTGGCATCAATCTAAGGTGTCACAGCGCACCAAAGTGCAGCAGTTAAATAGTGACGTAAGTGAATCTGAAATGTGCCATGATGTGGTTAAGCTGGTAACTCTGAGGAGATGGAGCTACCAGGTAACCTCCCTGAATTTCAATTTGGGATTTGGCACCATGCAGCACTGAGAAAGTAGCAATTTTTGTAACTGAGGTGAGATTAGGTAGTAATGAGATGTTAATGTATGCAAATAGGCCCATTGCTGCCTAGTAGCAATATTCTTATCCAGTTGTTGAAGCCCTTGTGGAAAATTGAATGTTTTATTCCTGACATTGAGAATCTAACTTTTCCATCCTGCTATTTTCCCAACTGTCTCACCATTACCACATCATTCAGACCCTGGGAAAATTCCACCCATTGTTTTTTACCTGATTAAAATAATTACATCATTACGTTTTGGTATCCCCTTCTTCAGTTACAGCTCTTTAGAAGCTTGTTTTTCTCTTTATTTAGGTTGTGACTCAGGCTTTGGTTACACTTTGGCCAAGCGACTCCATTCTCTTGGTTTCCGTGTGTTTGCATTGGTGCTTCAAGAAGAGAGCGATGGTGCTCAAGAACTCAAGTCGATTTGTTCTGATCGACTCACCGTCATTGAAATGGATGTAACAAATGATGCAGTGATCCAAGAAGTCCAAAAAGAAGTTGCAAAACAATTGAATAACAGGGGTATGTAAACGATACTCTAGTCAGCTTTGCTGAATTACTTTCAATTCACAATGATGAAGCTGTTTCCAAAATTCAGAACGCTGTATTTCGCTGTTGCCAACCTCAATCTGTAGCCCTGAAGAACGTAGTGATTATCGTCAGTGACAGATATTTTTTAAAAAGTTCAGTGATTTTGATGAAAGTCATTTTAAAATGCACAAGGAAGCCATATGTCTTCACCAATTCCTAAGCATCAAAATTGTAAAATTGATTATATTCTGATGCCAAGAATGAATGCTATGATGAGAGAAACTTTACCAATCAGACCTGCTGAGTTTTCAGGACAATTTAACGATGCAGCCTCCAGAGTGTGCTAATTGATTAAAGTCAGAGACTTGTACAATGTTGTACAGCTAATGAGCAAAACTAAATGATAATTTTCATGTGAATCCGACTAACCACTAGGTGTCTGAAAGAATTCCTAAGTAATGTTTGTCATTGTCCAGTAGGGGAACACCACAGAGTGGCAAGCAATTAGATGCTTCCAAAAAGAGCATTTATTCAACAAAAGTAAACACAAACAAAACGAATAGAGGTTTCAGATTGCCCCCACAATGCCCAAAGACAGTTTTACAGTCTATGATTTCCTGCTGGAACCAGCTCTCATTTACTGGAAGGGGGTGTCAGTCAGCCCCTGTCTGACTTGTAGCACCCAATGCTGATGCCTCTGGACTTGCTGTTAGGACTGTTTCTTTTATTCACACGGGATGTGGATGACCAGGCTAGGCCAGCATTTATTACCCATTCCTAATTGCCCAGAGGGCAGTTAAGAGTCAACCACATTGTGGATCTGGAGTCACATGTAGGTCAGACCAGATAAGAGTGGCAGCTTCCTTCCCTAAACGACATTAGTGAACCAGATGGATTTTTCCCTGACAATTGACAAAGATTCATGGTTATCATGAGATTCTTAATTCCAGATTTTTTTATTGAATTCAAGCTCCACCATCTGTCATCTTGAGATTCAAACCCAAGTTCTAAGAACATTACTTGGTCTCTGGACTAACAGTCCAATGATAATACCATGAGGCTATTGCTCCCCTTTATTCTTGTTGCCTTCTTGAACCACTGCAGTTCGTTGTAAACCATGTACTGTAGATAGATCCACAATGCCAGTAAGGAAGAATTTCAGGATTTTGATCCGGTGACACTGAAGGAATGGCATTATACTTCCAAGTCAGGATGGTGAGTGGCTTGGAGGGGAACTTATAGGTGGTGGCGTTCCTATGTATCTGCTGCCCTTGTCCTTCTAGATGGAAGTGGTCATGTGATTTGGAAGGTGCTGTCTAAGGATCTTTGCTGAATTTCTGCAGTGCAACTTGTAAATGTCACACGCTGCTGCTACTGAGCATTCAGACTTGACCAGTTCGAACAATACTGTTGTTACTGAGCCACTGTTGCTGATAGCCATTAGAAACCCCCACCCAGAACACATTTGACGCCCTTGACAATGTCAATGCTTCTTCCAAGTGTTGTTCAATACTAGTTCATCAGCTGAGAGATCAGCTGGTAATCAGCAGGAGGTTTCTTGCCTATGTTTGAACTGATGCCATGAGACTTCATGGTTTCTGGAGTCAATGTTGAGGACTCCTATGGTACCTCCCATCTGACTGTATACCATTGTGCTGCCACCTCTGCTGGGGACATCCTGTCGATGGGCTAGAACATAGCCAGGGATGGTGAGGGTGGTGTCTGGGACATTGTCTGTCGGGTATGGTTCTGTGAGTATGCCTATGTCAAGCTGTTGCTTGACTATTCGAGTGACAGCTCTCCCAATAATGGCACTAGCTCCCAGATGTTCGTTAGGAGGACTTTGCAGGGTCAGCAGTATTGTTTTTGCCATTGTTGTTTTGGGTGCCTACGTTGATGCCAGGTGATCCTTCCATTTTCATTCCTTGTTCCTTTCTAGGGGTTGATACAACTAACTGGCTTGCACAGCCAAATCAGAGGACACTGTGGGTCTGGAGTCACATGTAGGCCAGACCAGGTAAAGATGGTAGTTTCCTTCCCTAAAGGACATTAGTAAACCAGATGGTTTCATCAACAATGATTTCATGATCATCATTTAGACTCTTAATTGCAGATTTTCACTGATTTCAAAATTCAACCACCTGCCACAGCAGGATTTGAGCCTTGGGGTCTCTGGCTTAATATTCTAGCAATAGTATTACTAGCTTTTCACTTCCCCTGAGGGACTTTGCTCCCCCTTATTCCCCCAGTCTTCATATTCTTAGCATGACAGCCACAGTGACCAACATATACCCAACCACTGGGTATGTCAGTCTTACTGGCAATGATCCATGTTGGTAAATTTAGGAAGAAAACAGGCTTGTAACTCTGAGAAGTGGTGGCATAATCTATAGATGAAGCTGCACACACTCCTTCAAACAGCGAGACATGCAGCACTCATAATGAGGACTATAATTCATTCAGCTTCAGTGTGGGCACTAATTTGGTGAAAGTGCTGTACTCGCTGAATCAACCAAAACATAATATCAAAAAGAGATGCCTGCTCCACTACAACACTTAATGCATTCAGTGCAGTCCATCATAATACTTATAGGGCAGGTGATAGGATGACCATCTGTGGCTCCCACAGCGTCCTTGCAAGTTTCACAAGTTATAGTTCATATTCAGCCAGTGTTAACTTCATTTTTAAGTCACTGCTGCTGACTTCTCCATCATTAAGATACCGTTGCTCAATTTGCAAAGTTCAACAGCTGATGCAAATTTCCTTTGAACCATAGATACATTCACTCTGCATGCATTGCGCATGGACAATGAAATGATTGCAAACTAAATGTAGCTACATTTTGCAAGTGCATGCTTCATGTATTTGCCCCTTTGATGTCCCAGCATCCAGCAGTTGTGGAGACTGTGCTTTTGCCCATCAAATTGACACTGACCTGTCCACCCTGAGCATTGTCCCAGGCATTTTCCTGTTGCAGTTAGTGTCTAGTGAGTCGTAAGTGATTGCAGGGAGCACTGGACACCAGCAGCATCGGGCTCTGCCTGGTTGCCAGGTTTCCTTTATATGTCATAGTATCCTGACAACCCATTTCCGCCCACCCTACCCCCACCCAATGTGGAAATCCACTGCATTGAATTTTACCTCCAGCTTTCCTCTTTGCGTCCCGAGCAGCAACATTACACCTTATTGATGCCCACCATGGTCCTGTACTCTACCCCTATGGAGGTCATGATGGTCACTGCCAATAATTCCCCCACCTCTCCCCTAGCCTACCATGCCCTCTGATGCTGTACCATACTCCTTGTCCCCATCTCAACACTGCTTTCATTCCCCAGCCTTGATTGCCACAACCACTTTTTGCAATGAGCCGCCCTTGCATTCTCCTCTCCCCACCTCTCCTAGGACTGTATTCACGCAAGCATCTGATCTACTTCACTGACCTGCCTTTGGCATGAATGATCAGACCTCTACTCGCTCTCTTTGCAGCTCCCTGACTGATGATACACAATTCCCCTGACTGCATATGGTGGCCCTACAGAACTGACCTGGCGGTATTGGAATTCCCTACAAACAATGACCCTGTACCTCTTTGACTAAACTAGGTTCTACCCCACCATGTAGTTTTCGACAGGGCCATTTGGTTGAATGAACTTGCAGTGTGTTTGCCGCACAAGCAGCTGTTAGATTGATGTTTTGGCATGCTGTACAGCAAGGTAACCCTTGCCCCACAATTGACAGGTCCCGACCAATGGAAAGCCTGTCTATGCGTCAGCATAAAACAGTGCATCAGTAGCGCAGTACTTGGACGCCCCAACCTGTTAACTGGCCTTACAAGGCAAGGCAAGGCAAGGCAAGGCAAAGCAGGGATGCTGTGAGCATACAGGTAGGCAATATATAAGAGAGCTTTTAGTGAGTGTGCAAACAGCTCTGAGATGCAGCCTGGTCCAGTCCATGAGCTGAATGCAAAATGCCCTTGCAGCAACCTTGTAGTGTCAATTGCGGTTATGCCCTGAAATGCAGGTCCCAAATTTGTATGCATCCTGCAAGTGGATTGTATCAGTGACATGAGGATCCTCAGGAGTTGATGGTAACCAGATAGTAGTGTCCATGGGTGAGGGGTGCATGGAGCTTGTGTCTGTGGAGTGTGCCCTCAGATGCTGCTGTGTGGTGACCAACGTGGTGGCTGGTCACGGGCAGTGGTGAGCTGGTGTCACCAAGTACCCGCATTGACTTCCATGTCGAGAATTCTCAACGTCTAGTTTGCTCGTAGCGGATGGAAAGATAGAAAGCTACATATTAATGAGGTGACACCTGCAGTTAATAATGTTGTTAACAAGCAGTTATCCAACTTCATAGGCAATTCACTTCTGCTTCGTAAGAATATCAACTTGTTACCCAGAACTTAGTTAAAAAATGCAGCAAGTAGTTCTCACCCCAAGATAGGCCTAGCTAGAATTCTCATGTGATTGTACAATTTTTGTCATCAGAACCCATGTTGGTCAACCCCTATCAGACTCCACCCTATATCCCTTACTTATTAATGGGAATCAAGGAGAACTAGAAGCTTCTAACTGCTTTTGAAGAATAAGAGTATCCTCAAATTTATGTGCTGCCTTAGGCTAATAACCATTAGCATTTAACATTGTCCTGAGAATTTTGAGGAAAACCACATTTTGAGAATTGTGCTTATAAACCACTATTAAGATGTTTCTTGAATGCTTACATGACGTTCTGCCGATTTACAAGGTTGCTGAAACATATAATTTCAGCCATGCATTCCTGTGAGACTATGAAGGCATATGTTATATTTACTTTGATAAAAGTACTGCTGCTGAATTCAGAGATGAGTGAACTTCCAATAATCACAGTTAATCTGTGGTTGATATTGTAGTTCATAAAAGTTGTATTGGTCAATCTTAATAGGACTGGGTCTCATTGTCAAGTTACCAACATTATTGCAGGACTCAGGAGGGTAGTTGCACAATGCACGAACGATTAATATTTTTCTGACAGCAACCTTCAGGAACAGCTGTTTGGCAGTATCATTCTCCAAATGCAATAAAATTTGGAAATAAGTCCAACTAAAAAAAGACACTTAGCCAGTGGGTCACTAATAATAAATCCAAACCAGATATCCTCTCTCTGGCTGACCGAGATTTGGATTTCAGTTTTTGGTTTGTAGAGAAATGTTCTTGAAATTTTATTGCACTTTCTCAGCAAGTATAAAAACAAAGCCATCATGTGAACCTTTAACCTAAACCGTAATGCCATTTCAACAGTGTCTTTCATGATGACAGAGTTCACAAGCCACGTCTGGCTTGTGTTTAACAACAGTTGGTTCTTTCTAGCCTTGCTTACATTAAAGGGCAGGGTCCCACTCTACAAAATAATAGAATATATAACATTATTTATCTCCTCTATATAGATCCCAATAATCTGGGATCTGGGATCTGGGACCTCATGATTTCATGTCCCTCTCCCACCTCTATTCGATTGAACACCCTCAAGAACATTACAGAAATCAAAACATCATTGTACAAATACCATTGTTTTTAGTTTCTGTTCCTTAGCTAACAACTCAATTCCTCTTCCTGACAGCAGTCTCATATTAACTCAATCTGCTCACAACATTGCAATCATTGGACCCCAAGATGAGATCTCAACCAACTATTCATGTCATTAGTAATGTTGCCTATTTATATCCTGTTGGGGTGGAATGACCAAATGATTCACTCAACACCCAGGAGTTCACTTCCAGCATCAAAGAGTTTATTGAAATTACACCAGTGGGAAGAAACTCTTTGAAAATCCAAAGAAATCTTCACCGAACAAAGGAAGACATACATTTTTATAGAGAGATAGTAAGAACTGCCAATGCTGGAGTCAGAGCTAACACAGTGTGGAGCTGGATGAACACAGCAGGCCAAGCAGCATCAGAGGAGTAGGAAAGTTGACGTTTTGGGTCAGGACCCTTCTTGAGAAATCTTTATACATTGTTTCATCCACCTTTAACATTTACAAATCAATCATGTTAGTTTATTACATTTATTTCCAATTAAGCTAATCATATGACCGCACGGCTAAAGATGGACAGGCTTGTGGTTAACCCCCGGTCCACCATCGTCTCATAATGTTTCCCAGATTCTCTTATCTCCTTTCCTGGGACTTTTCTTCCCCGACGTTTGTCAGCTGCACCACGTTAACTGCCAATTAATTGGATACTTACCTATCACTTAAGGACCTTTTAAATTCCTTGTTAAACTCATTACAAGAAATACGAAAGTATATAAATTTTACTCATTGTTATAATATCAGTTTGAACAAAGTTATTTGGTTACACCTAATCTTAGAATTCTTCAGCTAACAAGTTGTGAGCAGTTTCTTTCTCACTGTGCTTACTAGGCACCCCTATCTTTATCCTTGAGTGTCTTACAATAGGCTCATTCACTCCATATTCCAATGTCTCTTAGTTTCTGTACCTATGATTCATTTCTCCCTGTAATGATATCAGGGCTGCTTTTACTGTCTGAGAGTGGTTTGCTCTCATAATTTTATTTGAATCTTTTCCTCTAATACTTCTAGTGATTTTTTTTGTATAAAATTGAATCTATAACTACTTCAGAATCATTATCTATGATTATTTAATCAAAACCTACTATTGGTATTGTAGCAGATTGATTAAATAATTGGAGAGATTCGTGAATTAAATGTAGTGTGAAACGTTCTTATGTATATCTTATGCGTAAACAACTGCAGCTGCATATTCTATCTCAGTTCTGTTATCTTGGGTCTACAGAGCTATTGTTGTTCTAACTTGTGCTGACTATATTAATCAAGTATTTTCCCAAATTCTCTAAGATTACTGTCAATCATATTCTGCTGCTTTAGCCTCATGCAGCCATTGGCCATGTTGTGCTGCTCAGTCATGGGCATCCCATACACATCCACATAACTTGACCCCCGTCTCAGTGCATCACTGCTGAAGCCCTCATTCATGTCTTCCTTTACCTCTAGACTATTCCAATGCACACCTGGCTGGTTTTCCATCGTCTACCCTTTGTAAACTTGAACTCATCCAAAATTCTGAACCCTGTGGCTTAAGTCACATCTCGGCCCGTTCACTTATCATCTCTGTTCTCATTAACCCACATTGGTTCTCAGTAAAGCAGTGTCTTGATTTTAACTTTTCATCCTTGTTCCCAAATCTCTGCATGGCTGCACACCAAACTTTCTCTGTAATCCCCTCCAGCCCTATAAAACTCTCCAACATCTCTGCTGATTGAATTCTCTTGTTGCCTCTTGAGCATCCACAATTTCAATTGCTTCACTATTAGTGGGCATAACTTCAGTTGCCCAGGCCCTATACCTCCCTCCCTTTCAACTTCATGACCTCATCTAAGATTCTCCCTAAAACCTAACTCTTTAACCTAACTCTTTTGGTCATCTCATCTAATGGCCTGGATTTTCCTATTATTGGTTAAGTAACTTGGATTTTCCTGATCTAAAACCTTGTTGTCATGTTTAAATGTTGCAGCAAATCTTTCCAAGAGAAAAGCCAACATTTAAACTGTATGAGAGGAGAGTGCTGATTGGTAGACACAATGATATGAAGAATACACATCAATGCTGACTAACAGTTAACTGTCAGGCTTTGTTTAAATTTAATCTACACAGGTTGACTCTAATTGGCTGTGGTACTACCATGAGAAATGAACGAATGAATGAGTGTCTCCTATTTCATTGAGTTGAAACAGACATAATGTGTACACATGTTCTTTCTGTCTAGAAAGAACTGGGCCCTGTGTTTAATATAATGCTGATTAGTGAATAAATGGACTGCTCCGATAGCTATCTTATTTTAATGGTACAGGGATGACAAACAGGCATCTTTCTCTTTTAAACATTATCAATGTATTGTGCAGGCAAGGTTCGGTGGCGCAGTGGTTAGCACTGTTGCCTCACAGCATTGAGATCTGGGTTCAATTCAACCCTTGGGCAACTGTCTGTGTGGAGTTTGCACATTCTCCTCATTTCTGCCGGGTGCTCAGGTTTCCTCCCACAGTCCAAAGATGTGCAGGTTAGACGGATTGGCCATGCTAAATTGCCCATAGCGTTCAGGGATGTATAGGTTAGGTGAGTTAGCCATGGAAAATGTGGGGTTACAGGGGATGGGTCTGGGTGGGATGCTCTTTGGAGGGTTGGTGTAGACTTGTTGGGGCAAACGGCCTGTTTCTACACTATGATCAAGGTAAAACTATCACTGCCACTGTGAAGTATTCTTCTGAGTCTCATTATACTAAAAACATGGGATGGATTTGATTTATTTTGAAACTATGTAGCATATAGTGTGCTGAAGACTTGAAATAAGATGGCGTTAAAAAGTTATTAAAGATTCTAGCAATATTTGAAGATTATTTTAAATGATGTGGTTGAATGTTTTTTTATAAAGCCATTATTTTCCCAAGACGTAATAACAATATTTATGAAAAATGTTATTTCAAAAGCAAATTATTTTTCTCTTCTTCTAGGACTCTTTGCATTAGTTAATAATGCTGGCATCATAATCCACATTGGTGACGCAGAAATCATCCCAATAGATGCTTACAAACGATGCATGGAAGTCAATTTCCTTGGAACAGTCCAAGTTACTAAAGCATTTTTACCCTTAATTCGTCAAGCAAAAGGAAGGATTGCTAATATTTCCAGTCCCTCAGGTATGTTCAGTTCAGAGTTGGCTGCAATAAAAATGTAAGCAAAATACTGTTTTTATCCCGATGGAGGCGATGGCCTAGTGATAATATCACTGGACTGTTAATCCAGAGACCCAGATAATGTTCTGGGACCCGAGTTTGCATCTCACCACGGCAGATGGTGGAATTTGAATTCAATAAAATATCTGGAATTAAGAATCTAATAATGACCATGAATTCATTGTCGATTGTCAGAAAAACCTATTTGGTTCACTAATGTTCTTTAGGGAAGGAAACTGCCATCCTTACCTGGTCTGGCCTACATGTGACTCCAGACCCATAGCAATGTGGTTGACTCTTAACTGCCCTCTGGGCAATTAGGAATGGGCAATAAATGCTGGCCTAGCCAGTGAAGCCTTCATCCCATGAATGAATAAGGAAAAAAAAAAGTGGAACTTTTAGTAAGAAACATATAAATTGCACCTTAAGTTGCAGATTGGCAGAAATGTAATTTCTGTAACTGACACCTGGAGTATTTCCTAAAGTTCTGAATTATCTCAGCTTAGAAAAGAAAATGAATAAGCTAGTATATGCTGAGCAATAATGGCCAAGATCTTCCAATCTCCAGAAAGTCAGAGACCAGACGTATGTTGAGAAATGGGCGCTGGGGTCGCTTGGAAGTCCCAACGCACGGAGTATGCAGTTAATGCCCAGGATGCTTAGACTTCAAATTGGTAATTATCATGTATCTGGGACCCTCCAGCAGTGCCCATAACTCAGAAATTATCAGAATCTTCAGAGGATTCTAACTTAGCTCAATAGGTAGTCAGGAAATGTTCAAGGAATTACAGCCCACTCTAACTCCTGACTAACTATAAAACTGACCCTCAATCAACCATGCTGACCCTCCCCACACCACCCCACCCCACAACTCAGTTACTCACACTGACTGCCCGCCTGCATTCCCTGCCAACACCCGACCTCATCCTTTTCCCCAGGCACCTTCCAATCTTCCCCAGTCAGTCACTCCCACCTCCCCAATTTTTAATTAATATATTATTCTTTAAATGCAAAAGCTAGAATTAATTCAGATCCGTATTGTTTATTCATTCTAGGTGTGAAAGTGAATGAGAGATTAACATTTTAAACAGTAGTTTTCAAATGAATAGAGTTGATTTTTATTAACTATCTTTCCCTTTAAATTGCATAACATTACAAAAATAAGAATGAAGTTAGTATTTAGGATAACAAAGGAATGTAACAGAATGTTATCATTTAAAAAAGAAACAGTTTATGACAAAATATGACAAAAAGGAAATATTTAGTCTACTTTGGATTACTTACTGAATTCCTTCTGGCTGGATACAACTCTGTGTGTTGATGTTGGTTACTCTACAAATTCAGGGAACATACACGACAGTCTGGTATGTGCACAGCACGTATTAAGCAGCTTGTTGTCATTGGCAAATACCTATTCAATCAAGTCAAAGAATTCTTGATTCTTATTAAGATAGACACTACAGTTGACATTGATATGAAGATGGCCTTTCTACTTTGAATGAAAAACCTTTGATGGGATTCCCATGTGAAAGTGCAGAAGTGAAATGGAACCATTCTGTAATATCAATACATGAGAAGCAAAAGAGTGAAACATTAGCTGATTTGGAGCTAACGGTGCTGAATGGAAACTGTCATTAAAGTGAAGTGATCTACTTTCATTAATTACAAGAAAGATCTGAGCAAGAAGACACTGAATGCACTAAATAAAGTCCAACAGACTGCTTAGTGCTGCGACAGTGACTACTGGGTACAGTTTGGCTAAAATATCTAGATATCCTATGACACGGAGTGGCTAGGCACGTGTATATAAGGATCAAAGAAGCAACAGGTCTATTAAAAAAAGAAAGCAGGGCTGCTGTCCTTGCAGTGCTAGATATCAAACCCATGGTGAAGGCGTTTAGCAAAGCTATTGACTTGTTTAGGAAGACAAAAGTTCCAGCTGCTGAAGGTATGTCACCCAAACTCATCAAGTGCAGCTAACTGGAACTGCTGCAGAACCTGTCTCTGCTGGAGGGAGGGGGGAGTGCCCATGGTTGAATAATGCAAACTTTGTGACCCTATATTTGGAACAAGTGTTTGCCACAACTCTCAAGGCATTTCACTGCTGAGCACTGGGGGAATAGTATTTGCTTGTGTTGCCCTCATCAGACCACAGATTCTGGCATCTGCCCTGAACTGCAGCGTGCTTTCAGATCTGGAAGATCTACAATTGACATGGTCCTCTTAGTCTAGCAGGTGAGTAGAAATATCATGAGCAAGGAGACCACTATATATTGCCTTCATCAATCCCACAGAAGTATTTGATCATGTGAGCAGAGGCAGACTGTTTAGGCTGCTGGAGAAATTTGACTGGCTGCCAAAGCTGCTCAGTATCATATGATCACCAATTTTCGATGAAATACACAGGGTAAGGTGAGCTGTGACGAAGCGCTCATTGTGATCTTCAGTAGGGTCAAATGGGGTTGTTTCTGGCACTATGATCTTTGGTATGTTATTTTCTTTGCTGCTGTCATATATATTCAGCTCATTGACAGAGAGTGTTTACCAACATACCTGTACTGATGGAAACCCATTCTGCCTTACTCACCTTCAGTCCAAGACAAAGGTATGCCAAATCTGAATCAGAAAATTGCTCTGCAGTACTCCAGCTGTGGACTCCTGTACAGCTTCAACATAGCCTCCCTGCTCTCATAATCTATGCCATGACAAAAGAAGGCAAGTGTTCTTTTAGCCACCCTATAAACTTGACCTGCCACCTTCAGGGATCTGTTGACAAACATTCCAAGATTCCTCTGTTCCTTTGTGCTCCCTGGTGTCTTGCCATTCATTGAGTAGTCCCTTGTCATGTTCCTTCCAAACTGCATCACCTCACATTTGTCCCCAGGGTTAAATTCCACCTGACACTGATCTGCCCATCTAACAATCCATTTATATCCTCCTGTAACATGACATCTTCCTTCACTGACAACCACCTGGCCAATCACTGTGCCGTCTTGCTTAAATCCATATAAACCACATCAACCACCCTACCCTCATCCAAACACTTGGTCACCTCTTTAAAAATTTCTACCAGATTTATTAAGCATGGAGACCCTTTAACAAAACCATTCTGATCACCCCTGATCAAACCTTCCCTCTCTAAATGAAGATTAATTTTCTCCTTCACTATTTTCTCCAATAGTTTCTCTACCACTGATGCTAGACTCACTGGTCTATAATTCCCTGCTATCCTTCTTGTAGAGTGGCACCACATTAGCTGTCCTTCAGTTCTCTGATACCTCACCTGTGGCCAGAGATGATTTAAACATTTTGGGTCAAGGCGTCTGTAGTTTCCTCCCTCATCTCCCACAACAGGTTGGGATACAACTCATCCAGACCTGGAAGTGTGTCCACTTTTAAATCCACCAAAATCTCTACACTTCTTATATTAATCTGCTTAAGAACTTCACAGTCCATCTTCTCGAATTCTGTACCTGAGCTCTTCTTCTCCTGAATAAAGACAGAAATGAAATACTAATTTAACACTCTCCTACTATCGTCTGGCATCCTGCACAGATTGCTCCAAGCTATTACTTTAGCTCATTAAACTAGCAACTAATTGTCTTATTAAATAGATGAAGTTAGACAGATATGGTAGGGCTGATACTGATCACTACAACTTGTAGTGATGCTGGATCCTGAACCCTTGACTTTGACCAACAGATATAAAATACTTGCTACCTGTGTGGAGGAGAACAAGGACTGCAGGATGAATAAGCAAACTGATAACGGTGCAGGAAGGCATTCAATGTGAGGTGTAAGTATGAATACGGTAATAATAGGAGATAACATAATCAGGAGGATGGATGCTGTTCCTTGTGACTGCGATTCCAAAAGTAGTGTAGCCCTGTACTGGGTTAATGACATCTCCTTATAGTTGCGCTATCATCTGCATGGGAACCAATAGTGTAGTAGAATTAGGAATGATGGCTTTGCTGACAAGGTTTAAGGAGTTGGGGTCTGAATTAAAATGCAAATTCTCAAAAGTAATTATCTCTGAACATTACCTGAGCTTATACCAAAGGCATTGGGTTGAACTGATTAGGGAATTAAGTGTATCGCTCGAAGTTTCTTGTTGGAAGAAGGAGTTTCTATTCATGGGGTACCTGTACCAATACTTAGGAAAGAGGGAGATGTCCCATTGGGTTAAGTTCCACTTAAACTTGACTATAAAGTGTTGGCAAATTTCATTCTACTAATTAAGAAAGGAGGGAAAGGCAAAACAGGGAATTCAGTTAGTCTGTCATCAGTCATTGGAAAAGTGCTGAATTTTATTATTACGGAAGTATTAACAATGGTTACAACTGGTCCCTGGGTGAGAATCTCCAATTTGTTATGACCCCAGGTGAGAAGGGAGGAACTAGCTCCTGTTCTTTATTCAACCCATTCTCTCTGTTGGTCACAAGAAAGTTGACATAAAACAAAGGATCCCTTCCCTTGTTGATACCTTCCCCAGTACCAACTTATTTATGTCTTAATATGAGCCAATTTAATCTGTTTTACCTGAGTTAAAGAAAGAGTGACTTTATTAGTAATTGAAGGAAAAATAAAATTCAACACACACTCAAAAATTAGAAATGAGGAGTGCTGTAGGGAGGGAATTCCAGGATTTTGACCCACAGACAGTGAAGGAACAGTGGTATATTTCCAAGTCCAGATGGTGAGTGGCGTGGAGGGGAAATTGCAAGTGGTGGTGTTCCCATGTAGCTGCTGCTCTTGGCCATTGGATGGAAGTGGTCGTGGGTTTGGAAGGTGCTGTCTGAGGATCTTTGGTGAATTTCTGAAGTGATCTTGTAGATAGTACACAGTGCTGCTACTGAGCATTGGTAATGGATGGAGTGGATACTTGTAGACGTAGTGCCAATCATGCAGGCCTGCTTTGTCTTGGATGGGGTCAAGTTTCTTAAGTGTTGTTGGAGCTGCAC